CGGTCAGCCTGCTGCATGGTCAGCCTGCTGCACGGTCAGCCTGCTGCACGGTCAGCCTGTTGCGCGATCAGCCTGCTGCGCGATCAGCCTGCTGCACGGTCAGCCTGCTGCGTGGTTAGCCTGCTGCGGTCAGCCTGTTGCATGGTTAGCCTGCTGCGGTCAGCCTGTTGCATGGTTAGCCTGCTGCGGTCAGCCTGCTACATGGTCAGCCTGCTGCACGGTCAGCCTGCTGCAGTCAGCCTGCTGCGATCAGCCTGCTGCACGATCAGCCTGCTGCACGGTCAGCCTGCTGCGGTCAGCCTGTTGCGTGGTTAGCCTGCTGCGGTCAGCCTGCTACATGGTCAGCCTGCTGTGCGGAGCCTGCTGCACGATCAGCCTGCTGCACGGTCAGCCTGCTGCGGTCAGCCGTTGCGTGGTTAGCCTGCTGCGGTCAGCCTGCTACATGGTCAGCCTGCTGTGCGGTCAGCCTGCTGCATGGTCAGCCTGCTGCACGGTCAGCCTGTTGCGCGATCAGCCTGCTGCACGGTCAGCCTGCTGCGTGGTTAGCCTGCTGCGGTCAGCCTGTTGCGTGGTTAGCCTGCTGCGGTCAGCCTGCTACATGGTCAGCCTGCTGTGCGGTCAGCCTGCTGCAGTCAGCCTGTTGTGCGATCAGCCTGCTGCACGGTCAGCCTGCTGCATGGTCAGCCTGCTGCGGTCAGCCTGCTGTGCGGTAGCCTGCTGCACGGTCAGCCTGCTGCCTGGTCAGCCTGCTGCACGGTCAGCCTGCTGCGGTCAGCCTGCTACATGGTCAGCCTGCTGCACAGTTAGCCTGCTACATGGTCAGCCTGCTGCGTGGTCAGCCTGCTGCGTGGTCAGCCTGATGCACGGTCAGCCTGCTGTGGTCAGCCTGCTGTGGTCAGCCTACTGTGCAGTCAGCCTGCTGCACAGTGTGCTGCGGTCAGCCTGCTGTGTAGTCAGCCTGCTGCATGGTCAGCCTGCTGCATGGTCAGCCTGCTGCAGTCAGCCTGCTGCATGGTCAGCCTGCTGTACGGTCAGCCTGCTGCATGGTCAGCCTGCTGCATGGTCAGTCTGCTGTGTGGTCAGCCTGCTGCATGGTCAGCCTGCTGCACGGTCAGTCTGCTGCATGGTCAGTCTGCTGTGTGGTCAGCCTGCTGCATGGTCAGCCTGATGCACGGTCAGTCTGCTGCATGGTCAGCCTGCTGTGGGGACCAGGCATAGGAAAGGCCCCAGAACCCAGCTGACCAGACCCACCCAGAATGGTTACAGCTTTACCTTGTTTATAGGTTTTGCCCTGGTTGTGTTTGTGTTTATGTGTTTCACCCTGGCTTCCTGATTCCTCTTTTCTGTCTTTGTTAAAAAAAAGTCGGGGGGGGGCAGTGACCCTGTGCCGCCCCCTTGAATTGCTGAGAAAAATGCTGGTTGCCTGAGCAGGATTTACACCTGGGTCCCACCTGGGTCCTAGAAGTTATTTGGACTGGGTGAAGAGAAGGGAGGAAGCAAGGTAAGTGGACAGACGTCCTGACAGCCTCTGTTCTGGCATGCGAGGAAGACCCAGCGTGCGGACAGACAGACAGATGGACCGATCCTGCCCAGGGAACCATGGCCTGGCTCCCCCCACCCTGGGACACACCCCCTGAGGTCCCAGCCAGGACTGAGGTACAAACTAAGAAACTAAAGAGGCCTCCTAACGAGATTCAGTGTCTGATCCCGACTGGACGTGTTTAAGACGGCGTGGGAAATCTGGCTGTGACATACGGGTCCTTTTTGTTTTTTTGTAATTTATTAACAGCCTTGTGGGTTCATAGGTTTTATAGGAGCAGGTCCGTGTTGCAGGGGAGGCGTATGGAAGGGTGGAGGCTGGGTGCCTTCATCTTTGCAGCTCACCTTCAAATGATTCGGACAAAGGAGAGCAAGCCGGCAGGTGGCCAGAATGCTGGCAATTGGTGAGCCAAGGATCCAGGCTTTCAAGAGTTCATCAGCTAGCCACTGTTATTCACCCTATTCGGTGGCAGGTGGGGGGTGGAGCTTCTCCTGTACGGTTACCTCCATTGACTGTTTGTTGAGGCAAACACAGGCGTGAATAGCTGTTTACTCCAAAGCAGAAGAGCGGGGTGGGATCTGGAGGTGTGAACGGGAATCTCAGCGGATCTGGAGGTGTGAACAGGAATCTCAGCGGTCCCAGTAGAGAATGGCTAAGCTTTCCTAAAGCATTGGTGGTGGTAAGAAAAGACTTCCAAGGTGGGCCAGTATTCGAATTGGGTTTAAAAAAAGCAAACAATCCACAGGTTCAATCCCAAGCTGGCAAGGCAGGTATTTTGCCTAGAGAACTCTGGAAGCCACGTTCCAGAACAAAGCCTGAAACTGCTCGGGGAATGAGGCCCGGTCTGTGTAGTGGGCCACGGTAGGTGTGGAGAGGGTTGTACTGAGATACAGTAATGAACAGCACAGGGGCTTTGAGCAGCATGCAAATACATCTCTGGAGAAACATGAGCCGTAGAGCCAGCCGCTGCGTGACCTTTAGTGAACCATCTGTGGTGAACTCCTACTCCAGCGTCAAAACCAGCATGCGCGATTTCTCTCCAAGGTTTTCTTCTCTGTTCTGGCTGCAGATGCAATTGGTCCATCAGACCAGTTTCTCTGTTGGAATTGTTTCTGTTTTCTGGTTGGGAACACAGGAGGCCAATCACGGCCATGGCCACTTGTGACTCTTTTATTCTTCGGCCAATCAAATGCTTTCTTCTTACCCTTTTGATTTCCTAGCCCTTCCTCCGGCTCCCTTGCTCAGCTGGCCTCAAGCTCTGCTTCGCCAGGCTATGTAAGCAACCAGTGATCAAAGGCTCTTTGGTTTCTTCATCTTGGCTTGCTTCTCCCAACTTCCTGGCTCCAGGACTCCCAGCTGCTGGCCCAGCGCACACTGGAGACTCCCACCAGCTAGAGTACAACTCTACCAACGTGGAAATAAGACCATTTTCTCCTCTTGGTCCCCAAATAATCCCGGGTGCTCTCTTTTTTTTTTTGCGTATACACTTTATATCTTCTACTATGATCATTTTATCTATTCCCCCTTCTAGATAGTGTGTTTCCACAAGGCCTTGTAGAAACTGACAATCTCTAGGACTGAGTACAAGGCCTGATAGTAGGTATTCAATAAACGCTGGCTAATGTAATGAATGGACCAATGAATGGACCAATCCGAATGGATGCGTGCGCCTCACCTTACCGGAGTGAAGAACTGAGACCCAGTTTAGAACTCAGCATCAGGGTGGACAGCAGAGGGTCCATGATTGAAGTTTCCTATCCGCATTTCTTTGTGAGTCTGGACTTCCAATATGGCTCCCCCAAACAGCGAGTGCCTTCACTGGTTCCTCCAGAGGGCCGGCGCCTGGGGCCTGGTGCGAGGCTGCCTTTGACCCTGGAGAGGGATTTCGGGATGTGTTGTCATGGCCTTGGGAAAGGGCTTGGCTCCTGGAGCTGGCCCTTCTCGCCAGCCGGTCCACAGAAAAGGCAGGAGGCACTAATTAAATCAAAACCCTGCTGGCGGCACATTCCCGTCCAACCTCTAGGAAAGACATTGCCACCCCGTCTCTGGGGGCACGGCCATTTCACCCCCGGCACTGTGTGCCAACAGAGCAGTTGCTACAAAGAGCTCAGGCCAGGAACCATGGGGCCGGCTCTGATCACTAACTAACCGCTCTGTCCGTACAGCAGATGGCGGGGAATTGACTTGGCTCTCGTTGAGTCCTGGCAATGTTTCCTTGATGACCATCTTCAAAATATTCTCTCTGGCCCTACCCAGATGATCCTTCTTTCTGAAGGTGAAGAGAATAGTCTCCGGTGCCTTTCACAATTTAAAACCAAGCTGGTTAGGTGGATGGGAGTCCTGTGTTCCAGACTGTCTAGGACATCTTAGTCATCTCTACCTCCATGTTGTGGTAAGAAGCTCAGAACCACCTCCAGCAGAGAGGCTCCAGGAAACAGAAGCCTCCATGGAGTGAGGGAGATTCACTCGATTGTCTTTGGCAAGCTTTGCCGGGCAAAAGAAGAGTTAAAAGTCCTCAGTGCAATTTCACTTAAAAGTCCTCAGATCCTAGAAATATGACCTGGCTTTGGAAACAGCTGAAGCCGCTGGGGCTGTTCTTCACAGAACAGGGGAGCAGGATGCTGCCCTGGCCTGCCTTCCTATTTGGGGAGACTTCTCATACTTGCTTTGGTAGCAAGCACCCCACCCCTACAACACAGAGAACTCCAGCTGTTAAAAACTGTTCACCACGGGTAAAAGCCCAGCAGTGAGCAGCAAACATGTCCACAGCAAGATCTTCAGAACAGCTGAAAGGAAAGGTTAGTTAACTTTGTCTAGGTGTGTTTAGGGTTGTGATTTTCCTCCACTTTCCTATAGTTCTTGCTTGCCAAGGGCCTGTCTTGGGTCACCCTGACTCCAGAGTTCGGTTGGTCATTGTTACACAGATTCAAGGTGTGTTACCGAATGTCAGCTGGGTGTGTAGACCCGTGGCTCATTGCTAGTGCTAATGGCCATCCTCAGAGCTGGTCTTTGTTGCTTATTTGGTTACCAGCATTTCTTTAAGGCTTTGGAACCCTGGATTCCATACCAGTGAATCAAGGATATTCATATGGCCGTGTGATCTTTCAGTGAAACGTATTTGACCCGGTGGCTGAGTTGAAACTCAGCAACCCGAGCCCTCTCTTCCTTTCCTTCTCTGAATCCAGGTTCTCTCAGTATGACTGACTAATAATGGCTCCTTCCACTAGGCGGTTTTAAGAACTAAGTAAGATGATGCACATTAACATGTTGAACTGCGGGGCTGAGGTGTCTCTCGGTGGAGTGTTTGCCTAAGCCTGCGCACAAGCTCTGGGTTTGATCCCCTCAGAAAAATTTCTGTTGTAATAATAAGAGCCAGGAGTATTGTCTCTGCTCTAAAGCATCTAGAGTGACCCTGAGAAGCACCAGGAACGCATAGCGCTTGACTGTGCGCCCTCTGTGGGTGAGGCCCAGCACCGCCCCGAGGCTTGTCCAAGTCTTCCTCCATCTTCCTGCATGAACACAGCACCTATGGGGTGATTTATGGATTTCGAGTGGTGCCAAGTTCTGGTTCCTGCCAAGTTCAAAGGCACCACTCCAGGGCTGCTTCTGCTCCTCTTCCCTTCCTGGCCACACTGGCCCTGAACCCTTTTACGACCCTCTGTTCTGGCCACGCTGGTGGCCTGAGTTTTCAGCAAACCTTCCTGTCCTCTTCCATCTCCCCATCTTGGTTAATGCCACCCCTGGCTGAGAGATCCTGCAGCCCCCTCCGGTCCACGCCACTCCTGGTGTGCGTGGCTAACTTGCTGTTTGGGTTTTATCTAAATCGTGGTGTTTGTCGTAACCGCAGTCCGGGGGCTCTGCACCTAGAATGTGATCAATAAATATTTATGGGTGAACGGTTAATTTTCTTCTTCGTATGATATTGAAAAAGACTTAATTAAGGGATTAGCTGTGTGAGGCACTATGCCAGGTACCCTACAGAGATAATTACATGGAGGATCCCTGTCCCTAAGTAGCTTAACATCTAAAACTATTAAACAGATATAAACACTCATTCAGAGCAGCCCTGGCCTGGGTGCTTCACCTAGAATCTATTGGCAGCCCCCTCTCTGGTGCTCTGTGAGTGTGTCTAAACCCTCTGCATGGATGTGGAAAGCATCGCACGTGTGAATACCCGGGGCATGGGGTGCACGATCACTTGGAGCCAAAGAAATGTGGAGAAGCCGTAGAGGCCGGATTTCATTTTGGATTAATTCGCTGATTGAATGGAGGCCACCAAAAGGAGGGTCGGAAGCAAAGACCATTCTCGGATTTCCTGTTTGAGCCATCCGCCGATATCTTGCTCTGTGCCCAGATGGTTTGGTGGCTCCAGACGGGAGAAAGAAAAACCAGTAGGAAAGTGGTGAGCAAACTCGAGCTGTCTCCCGGGCGCAGAAAGATGCATGTTAGAGAGTAGTTGGATACTTGAAATAAAGCTGAGGCACAAAGCTGTTTGGGAATACGCACTGGGAGCTGGCGGTGCTCCACGGATGGTGCTTAGGACAATCGACTTAGATCACACAGGGATGGAGAGGGCAGAAAATGGA